AAGTAGTTTTTAAGAAAATTCATATAACAATAACTTGATTATCTTTAGTGGCCGATCACTATGTCAACAACGAAAAATGTAAATTCTTATGAAATATTGAATTTAAAAATATATTTCTTTCTATTGGGTTGCTTTAAAACTATGAAATTGTAAAGTACTTATAAAATTATTTAGACTTAAATTTTGATTACCCATTAATGGAAAGAAAAAGAAGCATATGGAAAATGAAATTTTAACATGAGATAATTTTGGGGTCTAGTGTTTAAAGATTTAATGCATCTTGATGGAAGTAACAAGAGAAATTGGAGAAAATTGAATTCAGTATTGGTTCTCAAGACAGTACCGAGAATCGGACCAGAATCGATCAATTTTCGATGCATTGTCCCTAAATCGACCCATTTAGAAGAGGAACTGAAACCAAACTGACCAGTTCTATTTGGTTCGGTTCAATTCCGAGAAAAAATACCCACCCCTACAAAATCATTTTCCCATCTAGTAAAAAATTGGTAATAAATATCACATAACGCTCGCGTGACGTAAACGAGATTTTGTACGCACTGCATGTTAGTGACATCTTGATGTATCATAAATGAGCTACTCGGAGAATATATCAAAATATAGGGATAATTGTAGCAGAAGCCCAAAATCTTTTAAATACTGGTAGACTTTTTCCTAACCTTTTATTTGTTGTAGTCGTCATCCCTTTCAAAACATTGCATTTGAGGCCTATTTGGATGGAATCCATCCAATTTACTGTTAGTTGACCTAAAAAAGTGATTTTGACCAATCATATTTTAACTATTTTTATAAGGACAAAATTGTAAACTTGATTTATTTCCATATAAATATAATAAAATAATAAAAAATGGAAAGGAAAAAAGCCCAAACCAGACAAAGTCAAATTAGATCCATCGCTCGCCAACGACCAAAGGTGCCAAAAAATACCGCATACCGGCTATAACACACGTGTAACACACTCTAACAAACAACCAAGCCAAACAACCATTTTGAAGGAAGAAATTCGTCAAAAATAGCCTTCGTATTCAAACCCCTTCACAAATCAAGAACATGACTTCCGACGACATCCATTATTGTCGACCACCACCATTTATCTCACCTCATCTAAGCGTACATTCTGATTGAACAACATCACCAAAATAGGCTAAAAATATTGCTTCAATTTCTAGAAAATGTACCAGTTCACAAATTTGCCTCAGGCAGTTGGGCCTCCTCCAATTGACGAGTCCCATGTTTTTCCATCCAATTGTTAACAGTTGAATGCTCGACAATATAAGACGACCTTGGGTACACAATCAATTGAACCAATTCAACTTTCTATTATTGTATTCATTATTGTATGATGAAGAAAAGCAACATATTCTAAACTTGATGTTCATCAGCGTCGTTATTGTTGGCACCGACAGTGATTTGCTTTCGCTCCTTTTCCTTCTTGAAATGAAACCCACAAGCATTGCAAAATAACTGTTAAGTTCATAGCCATTATATTTATATGGAAATGTATCAAGTTTGTCATTTTGTTCTTATAGAAATAGTTAAAATATGGTCAAAATCACTTTTCTAGGTCAACTAATGGTAAATTTGACGAATTTTATCCAAGACCGCCTTAGATGCAACATTTTCAAAGGTTTGGGGGTGACGGCTGAAACAAATGAAAAGTTAGAAAAAAGTCTGCTAGTGCTTAAAAGGTTTGGAACAGTTATCCCCGAAATATATTCAAAGCTAGTCATGCATAAGGTGGTTTTATACGCACACGTGGATCTATAGAGCCGATTAATTAGATCAAAGTTTGTAAATATTTTTGAGTATCACAAATGATTATATGTTTTTGAAACTGAAAGCATTTCCATTTGCTTAAGCATTTGAGCTATTGTTATAGAACTCATCTTAAGAAGGATCAAATTAGTTGATCGTTAACACCAATTATAAGATATGTTCCATCTAACTTGTCTACTAAAGTCAACTTTAGTCCCTATTCAACAAGTATTACTTATGTAAAATAGAGTTTTGAATAGTAATTTTTTAGAGAATGTGTAATTAAAAAGTAGGACAAAAATTTTGGATTTATGTGTAGAATATGTTATTGTGTGAATGTGTGATCGAAAATAAGTATGTATAAAGAAGAATTTTAAAATAATGATTGTTGAATAGGAGCTTAAATAACTTCAAAGTATTGATATGCATGTGTGACACACGTAGATATATGTTAACCAAAAAAATTCACTTATAAATAATGGAATTCAGTGTTAGGTTACTCGGGTACAAAAGTGAAGGAATGGAGATAACCACTCCGGCATGTCCACCCGATGCATCTCTAACAATTTATAAATATAATTGAACAAACACTTCTAACATGCGCTTGTATCTCTGCGCTTCTTGCCTGATCTTTTGTATAATTTAGAATTCGTGACACAATTATGTAAATTTTGCCATTTGATTTGACAAAACTATTGTAAGATTAACATGTCTTATTAAAAATTTTATTTCCTTATAAATAAATAAATAGGAAATAAACAAATATTTTGTCAATCATTTTTTTTAAACGTGTAATCATAGTTAGAAATAAGTAAGTTAACTATTTTTTAAAATAACTCCTACCATACTGTTTAATTAAATAACTTTTATTACTAAGAAATAATTAACTTATCTAAACATATTTAAAATAAAAGGACCTTTCAAATAATTTTAACCAAACACTAGTGCATGTTTCAACATATCCTTGAGAAACATACCCAAATGCCCAACACTAATACCTAAAAAGGCCAAGTACTCCACCAAACTCAAAAGCCCAACGGTTAATTTGGTCAAGGTCAACTCTCACTGACATTACTAAGGATTATGAATTAAGCTAGACACCCTTTGAGGTGGGCTAAAGACCATTGGACGTCCAGGGGGTTGTCATCAAAGAATAGTTCTATGAGGTGTCAAAATTGAGGTTATCGATTTGAGTAAGTATTGTTAAAATTAATGGTAAAATTGCATATCATATCAAAAAGTGTAAATAAAACTGTTGGCCATAGTGTAAGTGTAACAACTGCCCCCGCCCCCCACCTATAAGGGGCATTCATGGTGTACAACTAATTTGGGAAAATGGCAAATGAACATCATGGTTGACACAATGGATGACCACCCCTTCACATGTCGAGGTGGGTCCCGCCTGAATAAAATATTCCTGACCCCCCATATGTGTGTGTTGTGTCAACCCCGATGTCACTCATTGTGGTTAAATAGCTCGGTCCACTAATTTGACATCATTTGAGGTATCAAAATTGAGATCATTGATTTGAATGAGTGTTGTTAAAATTAATGATAAAATTATATATCATATCAAAAAAACGTAAACAAAATTGTCGACCATAGTGCAAGTGTAGCAACAAGCCCCCCACCTATGAGGGGTGCCAAGCAGCGCCTCTGTTTGTCCAGTGCCATGGACAAATAGCAGGGTCCACTTACCAATTCTCAAAATAAAGCCCAATCACATAACCATTGGACACGAGGAAAAACGTTACATAACACTACTAATATTTAATATTAGCTAAATTGATAGTAGTCTATGATTTATTAAATAATAAAGCAATGAATCTCACGATCACGTATATTAGAACTTGTTTCATTCCTACTAATTTGAAAAAAAAAAAAAAAATTGGAGTTTTCAATAGTAATTTCAGGAGAATGTGTGGTTAAAAAGTAGAGATAAGTTTTGGGTTTACGTATAAAATATTTTATTATATGAATATGTGATTAAAGATAATCCCGTAACAAACCATAAATTAAATTAATGAGAATCAAAAAGACCTCAATGATGATACATAACATATAATTAAGTTTTTTTAATTATTTACTGACACTTTGTTATCCTTCCAATGTTCAATTGTGCTACCAGAAATATTTGCCCACTTCCTTGACAAGAATTCCATTAAAATGGCCTAATCCTCTAATGTTTGAGTCGAGTACTTCTGTATTCACGTTGAAACAGTCATGCAAATTTTTCTATGCTTGTCTATTCACAGGCACTCATAAAAAGAGATGTTTTTATAAACAGCACTTATAAAAGAGAGATTTTTATAAAATGAGACTCGTTGCCAATAAATATAATTTTCTACTGCATTCCACTGTCCATAAACTAGTCAAATGCAAACAATTGTCACTATTCAGTGTTCTATAAAACCAAAATCAAAAATATTAATTTCAACAATACATTCGTAACTACTACAAATGTATTATCTAAAACTTTCGTAAATTTCATTATTTTTCTTCCTAAAAGTGCATCGAGTGCAAAATTGATTAGGGCCCTTGGGCTAATAAGATTCTCAGAATCATTTGAAAAATTAGGGGTAACAAGTGTATGGTGCAAAATTATTGCACATCTATAAAGAGAAAGCAGGCATATTCTTCTTTCTTCTTTTGCAGCCCCTTTTTATTGCTATAACCAACATTTTGCTGTTTATCCATTCATATATTTATAACTTTTCATCAAGGCAGTGACACTTGTTACCTAACTTTTCCATGTCTCCATGGTTTATATATATAAAATAACACGAGTTGTACCAAGCAAGACACACAAGGTAGGGGAGAGAGCATTTACCTGTCTTTGATAATCTAAAATATTGAAGAACAATAATATTCTTAGCAATGGAAAAGTAAGAACTATTAGAACAACTTATTGGCTACCATAGTCTTATGTGGCAACAGTTTATAAAGAAAAAGCTGCTGCAGGGTTATATATACACTGGGACTCAGGGGGAGACGAACCGTGGCAGTACATTTATCACAACATGTTGAGACAATCTGACGTAGAAGAAGAAGAAGAAGACAATGATGCAAACGATGGTGAATCGTGCACATGTGCATGCATCAAACTCTTCCTAGGGAAGGGTACTACAGACCACAAAGGCAAGTCATACAGGCAAAGGGAAGGTGACGCCTTTCTTCCAGGATTTTCTTATTTTTAAATATTTCCCTAGTTAAGGATATGCAGTTTCTATACCGATTTAACAATAAAGATTTATGCAACCGACCCCCAATTTGTTGGGATTAGTGCTTAAGGGATTGTATATTCTACCTTTTTCAATTGGTTTTAAATAGTGTTTGTGTTGTTTGGTGGTTCATGAAGTGAATCCATTGTTCCTCCTGCAGGTGTCTCCTAATCTCTCTTTTCTTGTATATCTTTTGAATTCAAAATGAGCAATATTTACTATCCTTTTGTAATCATATTCCGTCTTGTTTAGTCATACTTGACTTTAAAATATTTTTACCAACAAATTGCACAAATGAATTGAAAATACAGAAGTACCCTCTCACTAGGTATGGACTCATATTTTGTCATCTTTCCACTTCAGCTAGAAAGAGTTGTTGAGATACAAGTATAAACCAGCAAGTGCTGCAACTCCCACCACAATTGCAATCGGCAATGCCTGCCTGCAATATTGGATAATCAATATTAGATAATATATAGGACGGGATAGTATAATGAAAAATATTTTAATTTATTAATTTTCTTTTGCACTGTCGAGTCGATTACCATCTAACTCTCTATGCCAAATGACTTAGGGCCCGTTTGGGATGGCTTTTGAAAAGCCAGAAGGAGCTTTTGAGAGCCAAAAGCCGCTTTTGGACCGTTTGGCTATTTTTGTTTAAAGTGCTTTTGGAGGTTAGAAGAGCTTTTAGAGGAAGTTGGTTTTTTTGGCTTCCTCCAAATGCAATTCCGGAATGGGAAGTGATTTTAAATATTAATTTTCAAACAAAAATTAAAATAGCTTTCTCCAAAAGCTCTACTATAAGAAGCAAAAGTCAAAGTAAAAGCCGTGCCAAACGGGCCCTTAGTGTGCTTACCCAATGGCTTCGTCTCTCTTTAACTGAGCCTTCCTGGCTTTTCGAACATCCATGTCATTAGCATTTTTTGTCACTGCTGGCTCATATGCCCTGAACCTTCTTTTTGGGGCACCACAAACTAAAACAAATATAGAATCAAAATGGTAAACCTAAATCGTTATAAGTAGTGTCAAATTTGTTGAGATTTATAAAACCTATTTCTATTCTATCGAGAGCAATTAGTTTGAAAAAATGAAAAATAAGCACTCAAGACACGCAAGAGGTTTGCCTGAAACTACGTCCTATGCAATAATTCACTATGATTAAAAAAAAAAAAATTACAAGAGAAAATTGCACTTCTCTCTGGCCTCTCTTTATAATAATAAAGCCTGAGGACAGGCTTCCTATTTACAAGATAAATTAGTGTAAAACTGAATAATACATTCCTTAACAGAGAGAGTCAAATAAGTATAATTTGTGGTTTTAAATAGGCTGATTTGGTCCATGAACCCAATAATAAATGAGTAATGTTATTTATCCACGCGACGTCCACTACCACCCGTTTACACGATATGTCACATTGTCTAATGTATCCGACCACCCATCTTGACCCGACCCGCCTTACATGGGTCTACTAGTATAATTTATAAAATTCAGAGAGAACATGTGGGTGGATTGTAATTTACCAGGACAGAAGTACGTATCAGGCAACTTCTCAAATGGAGTCCTGTCATTGTAAATATACCTGCAATTTTCCCAAACAGTTGAACTAATCAATAATCCCAAACAAAATCACGCTCAAATCTCAAAAACAAATGTAAAAACAAATTGAAATTAAAAATCACCCGCAATCCCGACAAATATATGCTTGTTTTGACGCAACACGCATAGAGAATTTCGGTGCCGTAGCAGGAAGTTTAAAAGAAGATGGCACAAAAAGATGAGCAGATGAAGAAAAAAATGAAGATTTGAGTGCAAATCTGTCTGGATTTAGCCTAAGGCCTGCATTTCCGGTAGGAGCTAAAGGAGAACGATGTGACGCCTTAATCGGAGCCTGCAATTGCAAGGCCATCTTCTATTGCCCTGCTCTCTCTGTCTCTCTATTGTCTGGGCAGAGGAGATGATGGGATAAGTGTGCAATTGTATGCAAATGGATGTGTGGCAGCGTGGCAGAAATACGTCCCTCAGAAATTTCTTCCACTGCTCACTATTTTGGGCCTTTTTCTTATCTTCTGTGACATTCTTGATCATAAGCTGTTCTAATTTTCCTATTGGCTAATTTTATTGTATATAAATATTTATTAATAAATTGTTGATAATTCTATGGCATTTATGACTGGGAAAATGCTATACTGAATTTTTTTGCCGAATGTTTTACCTACTACTCACAACATGATGGGAACCATATATCAACATTTTTAAATTCACACACGGCCCACATGTATTGTGAGAGAGGGGACATCATTCGATATCTTCATTCAGTACATATGGAATAATCCTTATGAATGTAAGAAGAGTGTTATCCATTAGGTCCTGTTAAACTCTCTTCAAAATAAAGCAAATTATTAATTATATTTATTTTTAATCGCATTCACACAATAAAATATTTTGCAAATAAATTCAATTTTTTCTACTTTTTGACCACACATTCTTTAAAAAAAATTATCATTCAAAACGTCATTTTTACATAATAACAATCATCGAACAAGGGCTAGGTTACTGCATCAACTTGAATAAGATTTGTCCGTTACATGAGAAATACTTTAGATCAAATGAGTATTTTTCAAGAAACGCAACAAATTGCAACACGTGCAATTATGTGTGTAAAAAATAAAAATAATAAAAATAATAATAATAATAATAATAATAATAATAATAATAATAATAATAATAATAATAATAATGTTATCTAGTATCAATGATGTTAGAGTATCAGTTTAAATGACCACACTTGATAAGTTCAATTAAATAAATCATGTGACATTATATTTTAGTGAATTTATTACTCAATATTCTGCAATTACCACATAAATTGATGCTTGATATCAGTGGTGTTGAATGATATTACTCGTGTAAAAATGGATTCAAGTGTTCGAACTAAAGACTTGAGATCTCGATCCATGGCATGGCACCACCCAGACCGATTTGTGCTATGGGCTGGCCTGCTCCTTTGAGTCAGGCTATAGCAGGCTTTCTACTTCTTCTTCTTCTTATTTCATTTTTCTTTTGAAGAGGTAAATTATATAAAGAGGAAATTACAGAAAATCATGTACTTAAACTTTCAAATTCAAATTTAGGGGTGAAGTTTATTTATACAAAAATCAGGTATTTTATTTTATTAACCCACTCAATTCAATTAAAAATCCTAATCATTTCACACATTTTCAAATTTCGCAATCCCATCTCTTCCTTCTCTCTTTTCGTCGTCGGCTTCTTTCTTCTTGGTGCCACCAACCCATTCAAACACTATAACGATGATAAAGGGATGCCCCGATGTCTGCACTGGCGTGGGGAGGCAATGCTGCTGTGAACGCAGCGTCACAATGTTGCGGTTCTCCTTCTCTTTTTTTGATCTGTGAAAGTGCTTTGGGCCCGCCTCTACCTTCTCTCTCTTTGACACTGCAACCGACACGAAAGAAATGCTCAAAACACTGTAGTGTGGGCCCATCTTTAACAATGCCGCTAAATTCGAGAATCTCAAGCATTCCACCCGAATCCATTCCCAACTTGTCACCCCAAGTTGCTTGACTATCCCTTTCCTCTACAACAATCTCCTTAACCTGTATTGTAAATGTGGCCGCATTTCTCTACCCCTCACTATTCAAGAACCCATTTTCACGTGTACAAGAACATCATATCTTACAACACCCTCATCACTCATCTGTCACATAGCAAATTTTCCATCAAAGCTCTCAACTTTTTCCATGAGATGAGGAGAAACGATATTTTTCCCAACTGATAAGAGCGTAAAATATGATATTTTTCCCTCTTAATTGTTGCATTCGTATGATTATTTGATGTCAAGATGCACTCATTATACTTATGTTATGATTCAGGTTGCATTTTGGTAGGAAAAGGTGAAACTTTGGAGAAAATAGCGAAATGGACCAAAATTGAAGTAAGTGAAAGTTCAGGGACCAAAATACAAATAATCCAAACTTGTGCTTAACCTTATGATGAAGATTCAAAAGTGTTAGATCTCAAGAAGATGAGGAAAGAGGTCAAAGAGATAAAATATCGTCAAAGTATGATCACACATCAATTCCCAATTGAAGAAATTACGCATCTATTTTTAGCCTCATATTAGGACCCCTTTTTGACATGATATACGATCGAATTGGAAGATTACATTTGAAGAAAAGTTGTAGCCCTTTGAGCTTTCTTTCCAATGCAACTTGAATTACCTCAATCGGATATTGGGAGGAAAAGTTATGGCCAAAATACTAAAATCTGTCCGACGAAGAAATATTTATACCATGCGTACGCATAGGCATGCATGCCTTGCATACACGAGACTCCAAAAATCCACTACTGAAGCCTAAACAAATTTGCTGTGCGTACTCACCATTATAACCATGTGTACGCATGGTTCATTCTGTACCCAAATCTTCAATTTCCTAATTTGATGCAACCACTTATGAAAACGCGATTTTCACACGATTTTAAGCCCTAATTCGAGAGAGAACGCCATTCTTCTTCCTCTCCACATCAATTTTCTCTCATCTTGGGTGAGAAAACCCCATGAAAGGCTAGAAGTCTTTTGTTAAGCAAGGGATAAACTCATCGGATTTGATGATTTCATATCTTTCATTCATGTAATTTAGTGCTTTATTGTCAAATAATTCTAGTTTGGACTTTCTTTTCATGATTTTATTTATAACGTTGGTTTAACCTTTACAAGATTTCTCATAGATTTAATCATGTTTCTTCTATTGTGGAATTAAACTAAGTGTTGAATTTCAATTTCATACATTGTTGTTGGTGGATTATTTACTGCTTTATGCTTTACGTATAAAGTCGATTCTTAATTTTAGTCCAATAAACAAGTGTGGAAATATGGTATAGAAAGTCTAGAGTATAGAATTACAATTGAAAATTAATTGATCCTTATTGTTAAATCCTCCGACTAGAGAGTTGGGATGAGAACCTCTAGTTGAATAAAATGCATAAATGATTGATGTGATTAATCCAATTCGAAAGAGTGAATTCCAGCGCTTCACTATTTTACGCATTGATATTTAAACCTCATTTCAATTTGGTAAACTACGTTTTCACGATCACAACGAAAACCCTAGCTTTTGATCCTTTGAACTATTTTCCCATCTCCCTGTGGATACGACACCCCAAGGCTATTCTACAACTAACGCATTATTCTTTAGGCGTAATCAAATTTTGACGTCGTTGCCGGGGAGACGGTACAAATACTTGAAGGATTCTCGAGTAAAATGGTGACTTTGTTCCTTTTCTTTACATTCTTTTAGTTAGTTTAGTTTATTTTTTTAATTATTTGTTATTTCTCATTTAGTTTCATTTTTTTTATGAACAGGCTTCGAGACGAGCGAGGGCAATTCATTGCGATGCCTCAACCAGTGTTTGAATCACTTTCTAACCCTTTTTTCGATACTAAATATGTTGGCACACACATTACATCACATAACACCATGACTGATAGTGAACATAAAGAGGCACCAACTAGGACTTTGCATGATTATCTCCATCCCACATGCATATCTACACCGTCATGCATCATATTTCTACCTAATATGCCACGTATGGACCTTAAACCGGGAATGATCTAACTTCTTCCCACTTTTCAAGGTCTTGAAAATGAAAACTCATACGTGCATATTACTGAATTTGAAGAGGTTGTTGTGACTTTTCACAATCAACGTGGTACAATGGATGCAGTGAGACTTAAATTTTTCCCATTCTCTCTTAAAGAAAGAGTAAAAAGCTGGCTATATTCATTAAGATTACCCACGATTGGGACTTGGGTTGAAATGACTTAAGCATTCTTTGGCAAGTATTTTCCCCACCATAGAACAATCGCATTGAAAAAGCAAACATCTTCTTTTACTCAAAAGAAGAGTTAAACTTTATATCAAGTGTGGGAAATGTACAAAGCATTGCAAGCCCTTTGCCCCCACCAAGGTTATGAAAGTTGGTGCATTGTGAGTTATTTTTATGAGTGATTATTACCTAGGGAGCGTCAATTTGTTGAAATGATGTGTAATGGGGAATTTTTGCAAAAAGATCCGAATGAGGCTATAGACTACCTAGATGACTTAGCTGAAAAAGCCCATACCTGGACTGGATCTAGTACCACTGAGAGTACTAATAGGTCATGACCCACTGGAAACCCAAATAGCACTGGTATTTATCATCTTAGGGAGGAGGATGACCTTAGAGCCAAAGTAGATGCCCTCACTAAAGAACTCAAAATCTTGCGTGCTAAGGACTAAATGCCTGCACAGAATGGATCACATGTTGAATCTTTAGGACCGTGTTTTGTTTGTGGTAGAACTGATTGTCCAGCTCAAGAGTGCGCTACCTATGTTAAGATGAGGGAAGTTTATGAGGAACATTGCAATGTCTTAGGCACATACCAAAAGCTTTATTCTCCCCTTTTCGAAACATACAATCCGGGGTGGCGGAATCACCCTAATCTCAGCTGGAAATCTAACGGCCAGCCAAATAAAGCTCACACTACACCTCCATATCAGTCCACGTCCTCTAGAAATTCTTTAAAAGACACTCTACATGCATTATAGAGGCATAGAGTAAGACTAATCAAAAGTTTGAGACTATGATCACCCAAATTGTTGAAGAAACAAGGAAATAAAATCTCATATGTCCAAACTAACTAAAGCCTTAGCTGTAGGAGAACGTGAAAAATTCTCAGCACAAGCTCAACCAAACCCCAGGGGCAACACATGGCACAAACTTCAAGATTAGGAGAGACCAACTTGAAAGAAGTGAATGCCATAACCACTAGATCTAGAAAGGTCATAGAACCAACTCCCAAGCTTAAGAAAAGTGAGAAGGATCCCAATAGCATAGAAGAGAGCACCCCTAGTGAGAAGGCAGTGAAAAATTTGTCTAGAGTGCCCTTTCCTCAAACCCTCAAGTCGACCTCGAAATCTGCTAGTCAAGACTGTGAAATCCTAGAGCACCTCAAGCAAGTAAAAGTCAATCTACCTCTCTTGCACGTGATTTCCCAGGTCCCTATCTAT